GAGAATAATTAAAGTTAAACACGTCACACCATTAGAGGCTATAGTCTACAATCTTACCCGTATGTACCCTCCCCGATCGTCTCAGTGCGGTTATAATTACTGATCGTTCGCGTGCCCCATTGCAAAGACGCAAGCGATGTACCAGATACTGAGGCAGAGGCGACAGAAATGGCATCACGACTGTACATTGAGCCAATGCTCCCACTAAAAGAGGCCCCGTCCTTCCAATTGCCTCTGTGCTGCTAACTAACTCTCGATCCTTGAAAGTGGTATGAAGAGTGTAACCTGCCTTACAATATGCAGTTTGGAGAACTTCTTTTTAAATTATGAATTCAGTGCGACCTCGGAAGACGGGCAAGAGCGACGTGTAGTTAGAGTTCTCGTGGAGAACGACATGAAGGTAAACTTAAACGACATGCCGCGGGAAAAAAAATAAGATGGCACAAAGGACGACGAGATTGAGGAGGGCAGGCCCAAGCAAGGAGCGAAGGGGAGGGAGGGGAGGCGGGAGCCGACAGGATTGCCATCCGTCACTGGTCTGGTCAAGTGCTTTCGGGATTTCGCAACGCGGCTCCAGAAAAATGTACATCGTCTTTTTTCTTTTCCTGTACTTGAAGTCACCATGTATCCATGTATAGAACCACCTCAGAATGTGTAACCTTTCCTCCCTACAAGATCGCAATGCATACATATCGGTTTCAATTTTCAATTTCCTATTTGTCACATTTCTTGCACTTCACGCGATGCTTTCCTCGAGACTGATTGCTGATATTTCTATCAGCCATGGCAGGAGCGTGCGCACATGCTGTCCTTCTTGAAAACATTTTCATCAGCCTCCATATGCATGCCATCTCTGTATGTGTCAGGTAGGTCACAAATGAACCCCAGCATTTCACAATCACGTTTGAGTACCACTTTGAGGCACTCAGCACGTTTCTTTTCAACGTTATCTTGTCGGTCGCTACCCATACACGCTGTAAATACACGATTCTCTTCCACGATCAAACCCTTGCCGTGGGGTTCATAGGGAGCCATTTTCGCTTGAGCTGCAGCCCATTCTTTCGTGGGCACTAAAATAGCCTGCATGTCCTGCCCACTTTTATCTATGGTTTTTGTGTGTATTGAAGCATTGGTCGATGGGATTCGATGCTTCTTATGATAGGGTACGTAATTCTTGCCGCGTAGATGTGAGCTCTGTCCTGTCGTGTTGGATCGCATATCTTGATGCTTCTGTGCATCAGCAAGCGCTGCCACCGTGGAAGGATGTAACAAAGGTGCGGTCACACCTTTTTCAGGGAAAGGCGGCGATTGACGTGTTTCAGGGCTGATCTCAGGCATAGGTGGTGCAGGCAAACTAATGTTTAAAATAGGATTGGGCTTCAGGGTGGACCAGTGGCACGTATTGAGAAAGGTATACGCCGACATTATATCGGTTTCATACGTGTAACCTAGCTCGCGCGTAGACCACATGGAGCGAGTAGTTATGCCGGGAGCGTAAGCCAGCTCTACGTCTACTTGGTCGGGCTTGAAATCGGTGTCGAGAATGTTCGCTGGATCCAGAATCCTGTGGCAATCCTGCCACATTGCCCAGATTTTATCAACAAATGCATGGTGTAACCAAAAAATGGGATCGTCGGGGCTTGCAAAGCTATTCATGGCTCCACCCAAAAATAGATGCGGCCGAGAATGCGCACCAGCTTCAAAAGCCGGCCGAAAGTCTCCCACCAGAGTCTTCTTACCCATAATAAGGTCCAAGACCTCTGCCGGTGAGAAAAATCTGTAAGAATCAGAGCCAATGCGCTTCAAGCACCCTCCCTTGCTGTTTGTCCATTCGGCAAAAGGGCCTTCTTTCATGCAGAAGGAGTCATTCTTTTTGCCCATCGGGCCAAAAATCCCCCAAAGAGGGGACTCTGTCTCCCGTCCGGCATCCAGCGTCCAGTCCCAGTAAGGCATCGCGAAACAAGAGAACTTGCCTCCCAAGTCACGCACTGCGCTTTCAATTTGCAAGACGTACCAGCGATGCCAGGGTAGAAAGTAATCGTTGCCGTGAAAAAGATTGAAAGTCGTCGGATTTCCATGGATTGCAGTAATCGTATCGTACAAACCACTTGCCTTCAAGGTCTGCAAAGCCTCTATAAAATCTGCAAGCTCGTCCGGGGTAAGCGATAGTATATTCTTTCGAACACGAAAACAGTCTTGTTCCCAAAATGGCGGACCGGCTTCGGTCGGGAACGGTGTCGGTGTTGCTGTCGACGTTGCGCTTGTTGACGAGGGATGATGGTGGTGGCCCCAATGATGTGGTCTATGCGTAGGTGCCGGAGAAGGGACGGGTGAGTCCAGTGGAACGTTCTCGAGGGGCTCAGAAGGAGGAGCAGTGGGATCAGGAGTGAGGTCAGATGGAGCCACAGTATTTCCTGTTGTGACGACCGGTGTCGGAGCGGGGGTCGCCATAGGCGCAAGTGGAGCTTGGCTTGGATTGCACTGCCACCAGTACTCGTTCACGTACTCGCATCGGGTCCCTGGACAGCAATTGGTAGGACCCCAATAATTGCGCCCGCCGCATTGCAGCCATTGCCCGATGCATTGAGCCTCCCAACCCATTCCGGGCTGCGCTTCGACAACTGCCCAAAACTGAATCAAGGTCAAAAGAAGGACATTGGCCGCGACATTGAAGCTCGAAGTCTGCATCCTTTTCACTCGCAAGAAATATGTGGCTTTGCTAATCGAAGCACGTGGCTTTCGTCCTCCTACTTGCCAACAGTCTACCAAATAGGGTCTTTATCCAAAAAAGGCAAATGGCAAAGTTTGATAATTTGAAGCCCTACCCTTGGCTTAAAAAGTCGCAAGTCTCAGAACGTCCTGTTTGTGATGTTGAGTAAATGATGTAAAGGAAGAAAGCACATCAGCATGGGTGTCGTGGGGTCATGCGGTCGGGCGTATGGGCCGAAATTTAATTGTGTACAATTATTTTTCGAGAACCGTGCGTGGATGCATCGATCTACTTAACGCAAGGGAGCTCCAGAATTGCATTAATCTCTTTAATATCTTAATTCTACGTAATAATCGTGCAGTAAACGGAACGCCATGTGTAGAGTACTTCCCAAAAGCCGTTGGCTTGTGCCCCACAACCCCTACAGCATCACTATATACTATGTGGAAAACCAGATAGGTAACAAATCCTCAACACTGACAGCCGTTCATATGTGGGTGGTCTGCAAACCATAATCTCCATTGTTTTTGCCCTCGATGAAAGAGGTGCCGGCAGTGATAAAGTGAGTGGCAATCACACTATGCTTTGGTCGGTTGCACATTTCAATCCCCATGGGCCAGGCGCGCCGTTGGTCACGCTAGCCGTTACTCCGCCCGCTGCGGCGTGTAGGCGACATACTCAAGATCCACGCGAGCGCTGCTGGCCTCATCGTGTGTCGAACTCTAACACTCCTGCGTGTCTTGCATTGTTACAAAGGCAAATTAAAAACATTACACTGGAGCTTGGTCTTCGCGCCTCGGCTTCGCGATGGCCAACGCCCTTTCGCCTAGGGGCCAAATCTCTACCATGTCGTCACCATCCTTTTCTTCTTCCCGGAGCTGGATGATTTCATCAATACTCACGAAGCTACTTGGAATAACTAAGTACTTGTGGCCTCGTGCACCAGTCTATCTGCCTTTTTCCGATTTTGTGAAGCATGCACAGGAGGGCAAATTGGCTTCCGTGATGATGAATCAAGACAAATTTGAGGTTCAAATGAAGGCGGGAGACAGTATCATGTTGGCTGGAGGCGCCAGCCTCGTGCCCTCTTCAAAAGTGTCCCGACAGCAAATATACCACACATCTGTCATCCCGCAACTCGACAGACAATGGATTGTCGAGATGCTTCAAAAAAATGGCGTCAGGTTCGGGACCGGTACACCTTCCTGGAGTCGGCGCATGGTCACACTGCTACTGACGATCGCCCCTTTCTTGTACTTGGCATTGGTCTATCGAATGATGAACAAACTCTATAACCCTACAGATAGCGTTGGTAGGGAGCGAAAAAATCTTCAGCAGAAACCAAAAAAACGTGTCATCACATTCAAGGATGTTGCCGGCATCGATGCAGCCAAATTGGAGTTGGTGGAAGTAGTTAATTTCTTGAGAGACCGAGCCCGGTATGACGCCATTGGCGCCCGTCTGCCAAAAGGTATACTACTATCAGGAGCTCCAGGCACTGGCAAGACCTTGTTGGCTCGGGCTGTTGCGAATGAGGCGGGCGTGTCATTCATAAGTTGCTCTGCAAGTGAATTCTGCGAGCTCCTCGTTGGTCGAGGCGCTGCCCGCATGCGCGACCTCTTCCAGCGTGGCTTCTCAAGCTCTCCTTGCATAATTTTCATTGATGAACTGGATGCGTTGGCGAAAACACGCGGTTCCTTTTCTTCAAATGATGAGCGGGAGCAGACGTTAAATCAGCTTTTATGTGAAATGGATGGTTTTGAGGGTGGAGAAAATTGTGTCCTGGTCATCGCAGCTACAAATCGTCCCGAGGTGCTTGATCCAGCCCTTATACGACCAGGTCGCTTCGACCGCCATATTGCGGTGGGTCTGCCAGACACACGCGGTCGCCGGGCCATCCTGGACGTTCATTCACGTCACGTTTGCCTGGCACCTGGCGTAGACATGCAGCGCATTGCCACCAGGTCCAAAGGATACTCTGGAGCAGAACTAAGTAATGTGGTCAACGAAGCCGCCCTTCTCGCCGTGCGAGCAGGCTTAGGGGTAACAACACAGGCGTGCTTTGAGGAAGCCCTGGAGCGCAACAATCAATCGCGGATATTGGCCTTGCAATTAGACGGGTTTGGCAACGGCGACATGGGCGTCAACTCTACTGTACAAGACCTCCATAACAAATTGCAGAACCGCAATAGGACAAACCTTCAGGATCCATGACAAGAACTCGAGATTGTTGTACATTCTGAGATAATATCTCTTGAAGCTCTGAAGGAATTCAAATGGCTATTGTTATGACACTAAACACTTCTTTTATTTTTATTGTATTAATTTTTGCGAGGGAATTTGTCTGGTGGGCTCTAAAATATTCAACTTATTGTTTTAATTTACATCGAGACCTTCGCGAAGGGGATCTAAAGTTATTGATCACTCTCTGCGTTTCTCTTCTTAAAAAAGCACACCGCTACAAAAAATCTTCCTCGAATGAAGCGTGCCACGCCACAGCTCTTCCAAAAACAAATTTTTGTCGTGACCGCTCCCTTGAAGCTTGTCCCAGTAAGGGATTTGCCTTTCGACGGTCTGGTTGCACACAGCCGCGTAGAGTTATCTTTCTGTTCACTTCTTTGTTGCGTCGTTACGTCTTGCTTGCGTAGCTTACATTCCAAGCGAAAGCCAAAGATGCGCGGTACGTATGACTCTCTCTCCGTCAAGTGACAAAGGTCGTCGTCCAAGTCGATAGAGGAGGTAGCCTGGATGTCAGTCGTAATGCCTCCGCGGCCAAGACACTTGCGGCCGAGCCTGACCGGGTCGTACCTGCGATTAACTCCATCCTGCCGAAATATTGACGGTATTGGGGTCCAGGAGTGGGCTGCTTCCAGGTTCAGCTCCGGGAATGCCAACAGGAAAAGATGGGCGAACGTTGGCCCCCAGTAGGCTCCGTTGAGCTGCTGGTGGGATGCGTCCGCGGGCCAATAGACTTCTCGACACCGTGGGCAAAAGATTTTAACGCATTCCCTAGCGCCATCACTCCTGTGTCGCTTCTCAACCACCTTACCTTTGTTTTGATCGGTTTCGCCGATTTCCTCGTTCGAGTTGCCCAGGGGGAGCACTGGCTGACCACAGCACGCCAGACGGGGACAGCGACCAAAATGTGCTTGTTGGAATTTGTCTCGCATCACCTGCAAGCCTTTTTGTGTGACAATGAAGCGCGCATGGATGAGTCCATACATGCGTTGGGTAGCTGCCTCGTCCCGAGGTAGTGACCGACAGCGTTTGGTTGAGCCGCCTTTCGCGACGCGCTCAAGGAGGAGGTCGACTGCAGCCATGTCGAGAGGGAGCCCCAACCAATTAAAGTCTTCTGCCAGGAAAGAACATGGCACGGCGCAGAAGAATTCGTGACCTGGCGCACGAACAAATTGACTGATCCAGGAGCTTTCGTCATCCGACTCAGGGCTCGACAGCAGAGCCTCCAGGCTGCTATCCTCCAACTTGTCGTCCTCTGGCTTATCTTCACATATTGCATTTCGGATACACCGCAAATCTTTGATGATGGCAGCACCGAAGATAGCCTTGGGGCGTCCTCCGGTCGCGCTGCTCTCGTCAATGATTAACTTATCGTGAGAAATATGAGTCCCATCGGTGAAGACATTCGTCGACGACATCCATCCTGCTTCGCCAACAGTTTCTCCACAACCTCCATTGGTTCCATTGCGATCCCGCGAGACGGCACTTGAAGAGGAATTCGCGTGAGAGCTTCCAACAAGGCCTCCCTTATTGTTCGCCATGAACTGTTCAGGACTGCGCGACCGTCGGCAACCCCATCCTTCGACCCAAGATAGTAATAGGAAACGTACAACTTGCGAAAGGAGCATTCAGCGCCATCGGTTTGGTCGCATACTCGTTCAACTCAAAGGTAGTCTATCTCTGAGGCCCTTACAAGCCTAAGGCATCGCGGGTATAGCACAATCACTGGAAAATGCAGGAAAATTAACTGAGGTTAGATTTTCAGTTTTTTCGTGATGCCATGTCTTCGTGCTCGCTTGGTTCTGTCAATCTCCCATACTGCGTTTTTACATTTTCTCGGACGATAATGGTCGATCATCGCTCAGTGGTGAAATGCGTCGCTCTGTGATACGTTATGCTTGAGCGCTGTTAAACTATCTTACCAACTTTCCTTCCGCTATCACCAAGTTCTAAATCACTCTATTGATTCTATATTTCGAATGTTTTCAATTAATTCACTTTTTGGTGTATTAAAAGTCTGTTTCTGGAAAGTTCGTCTCCTTGTCGTCTCGTGGTGGCTTGCTCTTACGGCGCTGCTTGTGTCCTCCTTTCCGCTATCGCTGCGCTTGATATCGTTACTTATGTCGTAACTCTTTTTGCAATGCTTCCCATGCTTATTGAAGAGTCGTTGATTCAAAAATTTCGGGAGTCCGGGGGTGTCAGCAGTTTTTGTGATTCTCCTGCTCTGTCTTGTCCTAACTGCCTCCCCCGGGCCTCAGGCTGAGAGAGCTACTAGTTTTCAGGTCTGTTTTGTAACTGGAGTTATACGCTCGTAGTGGTTGAGAACATATAGAAATGTGTTTCCTGATAGACGGGACTGCAAGTTTGTTGAAGGCGCAGTTTGTCGAAAGATGGCCTGCACTTCTATGTATGGCCACTACAACATCAGCTACAGCGTCTTGTCCTCAATTTTCCTCAACTTCTTATATTCAACAGGATCGTATCGAAATATCTGTTGGCCAGCTTCAAGATCACTGTGAAGATCTCATTAATGTTTAGATAATAAATCAGTAAATGTGTTCTCTGACAATCCAAGTTTTCGGTGCTAACACGGATGTGGGGAAGACCGTCATCTCTGCGGGTTTATTGCGGGCGGCATCGAACAGGCCCCTCAGGCGGCGGACAACCTATATAAAACCATTGCAGACTGGGAAGATACATGATGGATCATTCGTACAACGTTACACTTCTGCTGACGTATCTTGTCACACCTTATATAGCTGGGAGACGCCACTATCTCCTCATGTAGCTGCGACCAAGGAAGGAAAAACCATATCCAGTGAGGAATTGCTTGGGATGTTACGGACATGTTTACAGCAGGCGCAGGAATCTCATACAGTAGGGGGGGATGGAGGGGGAGTAAGGCAACGTGAGGGCTCGAACGTAGGGGATTTAGTGGTTGTGGAGACTGCGGGCGGTGTGCTGAGTCCCGGTCCGTCGCCCCTGCAGACACAGGCCGATCTGTATCGACCCCTGCGGCTACCTGTTTTGCTAGTCGGAGATGGGAGATTGGGAGGCATTTCTAGTACCTTAGCAGCGTACGAGTCCCTATACTGCCGAGGATACGAGGTGCATGCCATAGCTGTGTTGGAGGTCCCTCACTACATTGAGAACGCGGCTGCCGTAAGCGAGTACATTACTGGCACGTTAGGGCATGCGGAGACTCCCGTTTTGTCTCTTCCTCATCTGCCCGAAGTCTCATCTGTCTCTTTCTCTACTGGCGATGTAGACAAAGACGTCCTCTTAGGCGGCTTGGATCAGTGGTACCATCAACACGAACATGTCTTCCATCACTTGCTCGATACGCTGATAGATAGAGAACGAGTCCGCATCCAACGATTGCAGAAAATGACAACGCAAGCTGCCCAAGTGTTTTGGTACCCCTTCACGCAGCATAGTGGGCTAAGTGGCACGGACCTGCATGTAGTGGATTCAGCTTACGGTGACAATTACACTCTTATCAGCAAGTCCTCCGAGGACGGTGATGCAAAAGAGCGCGTCCCTTGTTCACGGACTCTCATTGATGCATGTGCCTCCTGGTGGACGCAAGGGCTAGGTCATGGCCGAGTGGATGTCGCCCTTGCTGTCGGCGCCGCTGCCGGGCGCTTCGGCCACGTTATTTTCCCTGGCAACGTGCACGAGCCGGCCCTGCGGCTGGCGGAGTTAATGCTGGCTGGACCCGGTCAGGGGTGGGCCAGTCGGGTATTTTTTAGCGACAACGGGTCTACCGCTATGGAGATAGCTGTCAAGATGGCGTTGAAAAAAAATTCCGTTGACTTGAAATATGAAAAGGGGTGCTCCAAGGAAGAATTCCGAGTTGAGCAGCCAAATGATAAGATCTCAGCGACGCCTCTGACGGTTGTCACTCAACGAGACTGCTACCACGGGGACACCCTTGGGTGCATGGACGCGGCCGCTCCCACTATTTTTAACACCGGGCAGCATCCTTGGTACCAGCCGCGGACCCTCTCCCTGACAGTGCCAACGTTCGGATACGTAAGCGGCCATCTTCAGGTCGAGATTCCGCCCGAAATCACCCGTGCCGCTGGACAGAGTGCCCTGCAACTACCAGACAGTGGACAAGTCCTTAAGTTTCCGGGGGGCCTGGCCACTCTCCTAGACGTACACGCCCGCGAGGGCTCTGACGCGGCGGTCATATACCGAAAGGCCATCCGGGCGCAGTTCATTGCCTTTGAGAGAGGAGAGGAAGGAATCTTGTCATCTAACACAGTCATACCTTTGCGAGGTGAGGCGGGGCAAGGTCATCGCTGTCGGAAGCTCGGCGCCGTCCTTTTGGAGCCGGTCTTGATGGGCGCTGCGGGGATGGTGATGGTTGACCCGCTATTTCAGCGGATCTTGACATTGGAGGGCCGGGCTTATGGCCTTCCTGTAGTCTTTGACGAGATAGCAAGCGGCCTTTACCGCTTGGGATGTGCATCAGCTGCGGAGCTACTAGGAGTTGCTCCGGACATCGCCTGTTATGGAAAGACCCTGACGGGCGGGTACCTGCCCATGGCGCTGACCCTCACCACCGAAGCCGTTTTTGAGGCTTTCCATGGGACGAATAAATCAGATGCCCTCCTCCACGGACATTCCTACACTGCAAATCCACTGGGCTGTGCCGCTGCCGTGCACGCGTTAAAAGCCTATGCTGTGATACATGAAACCAACATACGAACGTCACAGGAGTGTTGTCAAAGGAAAGAGGATTTTTTTCCGAATAAGAACAAGTGCAGCAGTCACCACAACATATGTCGCTATAATGAGGATCAAGTGGCGGCCCTATCAAACCTTTCCGGTGTGCGAAGGGCAGTCGCCCTCGGCACCGTGTTAGCGGTTGAACTTACGGAGGTCGAATCGAGCAACCGGAAAGGATACAGCTCCACAGCTTCTACGCACATCGTTAACGACCTCAGGGAAGCAGGTATATATGCGAGACCCTTAGGAAATGTGGTATACCTTATCGCGTCTCAGGTGTCTTCGGGAGGGACATTTGAATGTCTCGTAGACACACTTGATCGTGTTCTCCGTCGCCGAGGAGATACGTTGGGTAAGTTTACCCATGATATGACCACCAGCGGTGTAGTGATATAATGATACAAATAGAAGTCAGAAAATACGGCAACTTTTTTGGGGCTGAATTTCCTTTTAATGTGCGACAACCAACAGTACCCCTCATCAGCAGCGTCTCCGTCACGACGATCGATCTTACAAAATGCCGGATGTCGCCGTATTAGGATATCAAGCCCACCTTTTTTGTGTCGACCCTCAACTAAGTTGTTTGCAAGAATATCTTACCCTCACTTGTGGCTGCCTTCATTTTAAAATTTCTTCGACTCACCGTGATAAAGCCCGGATGAGGATCGAAGGGGCTGGTCCTGCTCAGTGAGGAGCTGCACGACGGCGATGGCAAGCGAGCAGTCGTATCTTCCGAGGCCCGCCAGAGGGTGTGGTAGTCGTCTCGTGCGACTAATGAGTAAAAAATTCGTTTTATAAGAACATTACGAATTTTCCGTGATTCCAAATAACAGTGTGTGCTCTACAGTTAGGTTTGAAAGCCGGTCAAAGCTCAAGCTCCTTGCATTGCCGCTGCCTCGCCCTGTCTGGTTGCCAGTTTGAAGCGTGAAGCCCGTTGCCCATAACATAACTCATCCACTCCACCATGTATCTCACAGGGAAATAAAGATCTTTTCAGCCATGTCCTTTTCCAAGATCGCCATTTTGCTTCCATTTCTTGGGTGTGTTGAAGGATTCGTCTTGCCATTTCCGCCTGTTCCAGCTGGTGTTTCGTCTTCCTTCTCAGTGCGGTCTGACGGTCGTCATCTCCACTTAAGACCTGCACTGAAAACAGCAGCGGGCGCAAGCAGTGTTGATATCTCCTCAGTCAAGACTGACTCAATTACTGGGCCGACTACACTGGGACCTCTGCCCCCGCTTGAAGGCTTTGACGGAAAGGCTGGAAGCTCACCGGCTTTAACAACTAATAACCAAGGCGGTGTATGGGTTCCCCAGATGGCTCGCCCTCGGAGGAATCGGAAGTCTGAGACATTGCGTGCCATGGTGCGTGAAAATATTGTACTTCCTCGGAACTTCATTTACCCGCTATTCATCCACGAAGAGCGCTATGAGACCGAAATCCCCTCTATGCCTGGTCAAAAACGTTTCAGCCTCGCGGGCATGATGGCTGAGGTAGCCGAGTCCCTTCAATTCGGTGTGAAGACTTTTGTGTTATTCCCGAAAGTTGAGGATCGTCTGAAGACGAACGATGGTCGAGAGGCGTACAACCCGGCCGGTATCGTACCTCGAGCCATCGCTATGATAAAGGATCGCTTTCCAGATGTTACTGTGATGACAGATGTGGCTCTAGATCCGTACTCAGATCAAGGACATGATGGAATTGTGTTGAATGGAAAGATTATAAATGATGAGACCATTGAGCAACTCTGCAAGCAAGCTGTCTGCCAGGCACGTGCAGGCGCGGACATAGTTGCCCCCAGCGACATGATGGACGGACGCGTGGGCGCTTTGCGACGGGCGCTGGACTCGGAGGGGTTCACGGACGTTTCAATCATGTCTTACACTGCTAAGTACGCGTCCGCTTACTATGGTCCCTTCCGGGACGCACTTGATTCTCATCCCGGCTTCGGAGACAAAAAAACGTACCAACAGGATCCCGCCAATGGGCGTGAAGCTCTCTTGGAGGCTGCATTGGATGCGGCTGAAGGAGCTGATTTTCTTATGGTAAAGCCTGGTATGCCGTACTTGGACGTTATTTTGCGGCTGAAACAGGCCACAAACTTACCTATCGCCGCCTACCATGTGTCAGGCGAGTATGCCATGCTCAAGGCCGCTGCCGAGAGGGGCTGGCTTAATGAAAAGGATGTGGTTCTGGAGACGATGACATGCTTCAAGCGTGCAGGTTGCGATATCATCCTTTCGTATTATGCGAAAATGGCTTCGAAATGGATGATAGAAGATGGATTAATCTAATATTTGCGCGGTGTTCCGCAGCTCTGAAAAAGAATAATTTTGGGGCAGTATTAGCGCGGAAAGTTGTTGCAGAGGTGTATATGTTACGCCAACCACAATGTTGCTTTCGTCATTTTTTACGATTAAAATACTTACGCTGAACGTTCTTATCCGTGGCTTTCCGCACAATCAAGATGGTTACTTTCCTCAATATTGCTGGGATGTCACAGGGTATTTCGAAATCAATCATACGCGTTTCACGCACCTTCCTAGCGGGAAGTCATTCGAAAATTTACATTAATATGAAAGGTAAAAGGGTCGCTTCTGAGTCATCGTACAGTCTCGGTTTTACCACCACGACAACCTGTGGGGATATACATGTGTACGTCGTCAATCTTCGGATTTCGGTGTTCATCCTCGCACTTTCATTGCCACTTTATGATGTTACATTGTACTTATCAATTTTTCTTTAATCTTTCGTAAAGTACAAAAGCGCCGGCAAATTTATCATCTTCAGTCTCTGCCGTCTGATGAATTTGAGAGTTCTCTTCATATACATGTGTGTATTTCTTGTCGGCATTTCAAGGATTTTTTTTATTTGAATAGGATCACATGGGTTATGAAACCTCCTCGGATCCTTGTGCAACGGGAATGCTCTTGGTCAGCTCCTTTACAAGACTTTCACGGCACAAGTCATCCTCTTCGAGCGCTAGCTCTCTCCGACACGTTCCTATCAAAATTGGGAAGAACTCACGCAGCTCTACCGTAAGCTCGTGGATTGATGATACTTGCAACTTCCACTGCATTTCCATTGCCAACCCTGCACGAGCGTCCCTGGAGTCCTCCGCTTCTTCAAAAGCCGACTTGCGGCGAAGACGGGGTAAAAATATCTCCACTAAATGCTCTATGTTTCCAGCAGTATCAATAAAAACAGCAGCGATAAGCGCCTCTAACACATCTGCCAAAGCTTTAGGTCCGCTTCCATTTTTTGAGGGATTCCATTCATCAATGCCTTGAGCAAAGGCAATAGCGTCGTTGGCATAAGTTTCTACGCAGCGATTCAGCTCGATGCTATCTGAATCATAGAAGCGATGCAACTGAAGCCACTCCAGTGCCCGCCTGGCAAGGTGCTCATTACTGACAGTTACCCCCTTTTCTACGTGCAAAGGCTTTGGAGGTGAATCAGGGTTCTCGTAAAGGATTTGTACCATGACCATGAGGTCCAGGAGCGCATCACCGAGGAACTCAAAGCGCTGATAGTCAGAAATGAAAATGGTGTGGCCTTGGCCCTTTTCAGAGCGCCGATGCTTCTGAGAGTGTGATGGATGTGTTAAAGCTTGTAGGGCGAGCCACTTGTTCCGGAATGTATACCCTAGAAAATTCTCAAGCTTTGTCACTTTCAGGACCAAATCAGTGGCCGGCTTGGGAACTGCCTTAGGATGTATGTTTTGGGGCGTGTTGGCAAGGCTTTCCTCCTTCCAACATTGACAACACCGGTGTAAAAGAGGCCAGTATGCTTTTTGTAATTTCACTCTGTCTCTAGGAGGTGGACCAGCTGTGAAAAAGGCAGCTGGTGCGTCTGATAGTCCGGGCATACTCGAGCGCTGTTGCTGGCAGACATCTCTCTCACACATCACTGGCAGTCCCAGCCACCGGAGGAATGCATCCGCTGCCCGGGGTCCACCGTCAAGAAGATAAGCTCCGATTAGCGCTTCAACAACATCCGCTATAACTTTCACATTTACTTCGGAAGCGCTTGCGGCGAGTGGCGCCATCAAAGAAGGAGCCCAGTGACGATACGGCTCATTAACTACTTTCGCACGCAGTACGATGTGACCATCAAGCCCTCGCTGTAAAGCTGCACGCACAAGACGGCGATTGCAAGTTAAGTTACATCGAAAGTCATGCAGCAAACTCTCACGCAGAAGGTACGGCTCCTTACGCAGTACCACGCATGTCATCACCCATTTAAGATAAATGTCTCCGAGAACTTCCAAACGTTCATAGTCTGGTTTGCAGATAGCCTCGCGAATGATCGAGGAATCTTTTACTGGAATTCCTACGCTTTGAATAAGAGATTCGACCTTTAGGGCGATTTCAAGCCGCCAAACCTGTGGGAGTGCTGCCTGACAGGCCTCATAAAGGCTCCGGGGGATTCTAATTAAGGTGCATAGTTGCGGGGCCACTAGCCGACGTCTGGAGATGGTGTTCCGTTGCATTTCAGAGCGCGGTTCATTATCATCATTCTCACCAAATTTGCCGTCGCGTGATAATGCACGAAAACGATAGGAGCTATCCAAAATTTTTTCAACTAATATCAGGGGTTGTTGCTGGTCGCATCTGTCCCAGATTTCAACCGGATACTCAGACAGATGGAGGTGCGGTAGCAAATCATCCGATTGCATAGCTCTTCGTTCCACAGCATCGCCTCTGCTAACATCATTTACTGCAGGGCCATTCTCCACTTCGTCTTGACTGCACCCTTCCCTCTCTAACGAGATAATGTCCCGATCTTGCCCGCTTCTCAGCTTCTTGCGTGGACCTTGGTCGATGTTCCCGGGCAACCCGTTGTCCACCGCCGGCATAGTATTTTTGCCGGCTGTAGACATCTCGAAGACAGAAGGATTCCCCACTGTTCCGTCCTTATCTTCTTCTAACAAATTTCTTTTACGTGCGGAAGCAGTCGCCTGAGCCGCTCTCGCTTTACGTTCTTCAGCCAAAGTTTTCTGCTCAACTATTTGAATCGGACCCCATAGTTTTGGTCGACCTGTCAGCGGGCTGCACGTAAGGAGCAGGTCGTTGTGAATAGAAGCCGCATCAAAAGATGGAAGGGGCCAGTAATCTCCTCGTCCGTGCACCAAATGCCGAGAAGGAGAGCTTTGGGCGAGTGTCTTGACGAGTACCCAATCAATTTCTCCATTGGGTTTTATCGGCACCAGAACATACCCTTTGTCCCATGCAGCTTTCGGCATCATACATTTTGCGAACCAATCCTTACCATGTCCTTCTACTTCATCAATCCCCGTACACCTTCCCGACCATTTTCGACGAGATTGTTCCAGATGTGTCTGAGGAATGAGATATTCTCTTGCGTCTTCATATTTCCCGCGAGCAGGATCTGTCGAGCAGGATTGCGGATATTGTCTTCCATTCTTATCTTTAGATGCCATGTCACAGTCCACATCAGGTTGAAGTCCATCGCTACCATCACAAGGCTCATTATTTTTGTCGATACCCTTCTCTGCCCCTCCGGCTGGTGGCGTCTTCTCTCCCGTCTGCCGTGTTTCGTCACAATTTCCAAGGGAATTACACCCTTTGTCGATTTGCAGGATCGGTCCGAACTCTATGTTGAAAGCGCTGGCACCATGGATTACAAAGAAAAGCATTGCAACGTGGCACTGTGCTAAAAGTTGTACCTCTGTAACCGACAATTGCTCGGCTTGCGCAGGAGTTGATGACAAATCCTCTGCTCGCAAAGAGCTTTCGGGAAGCAACGTATCCGTTATAAATCCAACACAACCTGCATCTTTCGAGAGTCGATAGACGTAATGATTCGCCCGATCTGTCTTCCCACTTAGTAATGTCAAACCTAAAGCGCTTGCTGCATCCGTGGCTACCCTTGTTGTTCCTGAATTTACCCTCTCCTGTGTCTCCTTTTCCAATGAAGTTTTTGCACTACCAGCTGACAGGTCTGTCGACAAATCCGCAGAGGCCTCATGTTCAAGCACGGGCCCTACCCCGAAATGAGCAAAGGCTTGAGTCTTAATCTCCAACCGTTCATTCACCACCTGTGAACCATAAAATTCGGGGATGAAATGCTCGTAGGCCTCTAGCTGCAAAGACTCCCGCACTGGATTGAAGTCGTCGTCAACGAAACCACATCTGTGGAATTCAATACAGGCATGATATGCGGCCACAGCGCGCGCGATGATTTTTGCTGGGAAAAATGAACTCTCAAACACTGGTAGACCAAATACATCTGGGAGCGTCAGAAGGCACTTAAACATGACTCCTTCTCCGGAAACGACTCTTTCACTGTATTCGACGGTGGGCAACAGCTGATAGCTGACGCAATCCTTGTTCCACTGAAGAAGTTGAGTGAGGAGACTTATTGAATTGTTCAAAGTGATCGTCGCCCCTGTCGCCGGAACAGCATAGGAAAACTGGGGGAAAAAGTGGGCAAAGGACATGTCTCTACGTTCAAGGTAGCTCATCTCCATGTCATCTACATCCTTTTCAAAAAGTGCAGCACCTTGCTCAAGATCAAATAGTCTCTCCAGTCCTCCTTGATCCGAAGCAAATAGGACAAAGGCTCCTCCATTGTGCTGCCGTGCACGTCCGCGCATTTGTACGAATGCTGTGGAATTTGCAATAGTGTCGAATGCCACAACTAGGCTGCAATCCGGAACATCGATGCCCTCTGAAAGAACATCAGTGGCAACTAAGATCTTTAATTTTCCGGAGGCGAATTCCTTGATTGCCCTCTTGTATTTTCGCTTCAGACCAAACGTCGTTAGGCCGCTGGCACTCGCCTGACCGATGACAAACCCACACAGCCCGGCAAACGAATCCCACATGTTTAAAAATTCATAAAGAACGCGGCAGGTAGTTCGACGCTGCACGAAGACTAAGGCCCTGAAGTTTTCCCTGTCCTGCTGCCACCGCTCATGGAGACACTGAATAAGTTTCTCCACGCGGTCCAGCAGTCGAATCCGTCGCAATTTTACAGCTTTCGGCAGGACTTCTTTCAGATAAAGGGCAAGTTTGCGCGCCAAGACACCCTCCTCTACGTCACGCTCTGCGCTTGAACTCGGCACAGTCCCAATCCAATGCTCCAACCCCAATAAAATATGACGCAATCCAAACCAGACTCCCACATCATTATAAGTGCGCCAAAGTATTTTCTCTGTGAGACTTTTGTTCTTGGCCATGGAGGGCAAGTGAGACTTCACCTCTTTAAGAATTTTGCCAATTTCCGAGCTCATTTTAAAGGTATCATCATCGAATTGAATTTGAAGGGCCTGATTCTCATGAAAGCCATCGTCAACGAAGTTTTCACTATAGTCGCTTATGGCCAAGTAGCTGCTCTCGTCCATTCCTTTTGAACACTTAAAGGGTATCCCTGTCCCCTTTTCAGTCATTCCGGACAGAGAAAACTCCCTTTGAGCGCCAAACTCTTTGATTTTCCGCATTTGTTCCTCCCAACGCATTTGTTCCTCCCAACTGATGTGGTTGCCTTCTTTATAAAAGATTACCTTTAGAGGTGCCTTGGCAGCGAATTTTTTGACGTCCTCCTGGGGGCATACATGCAAAGCACAATGTAGGATTTGATGACAGTTTTTGCTTGGCGTGGCAGTCATACCGAAAACTCTTGGCAAAGGCCCTTTACCGATTCCGCGCCCGTACTGGTGCATCAGTAGAGCATAAGGATGATTTCGGCGCGCCTTGTGACATTCGTCAAGAATGAGCAAATTGATGCGCTGCAGCGTAATGTAGTCGTGTCCCTTGTCAAGCACATTAAGCAAGATCTGTGGTGTGCAGACCACAAGCTGATTTTGTCGGAAAAGCGTCTGCCATTGGCTCTTGCTCAACAGATCATACTCCATTCCCACACAGAGCTTTGTGAGCAAAGCCGTGCCATTACATATGCGCTGCCACTGTTGCTCAGCAAGATGCCGTGTGGTAGCGAGATAAAATGCCACTTTCCCGTCGCTATAGTCCGCCTCACGCAGCAAGGACATGGCCACATGGGTCTTACCAATCCCCGCCGCACCACACATAACAATGTTAGTGCGTCGGGCCTTTACCAAGGCTTCTTGCTGGTAATTGCGCGATCGCGTCTCAGGCGGCTCGTCTTCCATCTCCTTGTCCGACGCTGCAGCTATCTAATACTAGCCTAAAAGATACACAACCCTAACGATTGCATATATTGCGGCCTACGTGCTTCTCTCCCCGCTTTCCTATTCCTGAAAAGAAACAGTTATAAGAGATTTTGTGCTTTTCACACCTCTAGGTCAGGAAGCCTAGGACGAAATGGTCACGTGAGTTTGCAGGAGCGCGGCTCGTTCGTTCGACTAATGTGATCAAAACGTTTTGCACGCACTTAAATCGTACCTGTGAAAACACTGAGGGGCATCTCATGGTTGGTACTGCTCGCCGCTTCTACCACTTGCTCGCAACTTGCTGTAATGCTGGTCTGCTCCCTAGCGAGGTTCTCGTGCACTTGCCTCCGGGTATCCTTACAAGGAGTCTCCGACGGTGCATTGCACAATTAAGCGTGACAATTGAAAACTCTTTCGTCGTGTATAAAAGACGATGATCACTTGGTGTTAAAAATCATCCTTCATGATTCAACGTGGTCATTCTATACTATTCTAAACACTAGATCAGTTTTATGTTATGTTGTCCGGAATCCGCTTGTGCTAATGCAAGCATGCCTCACGTAGGGCGTGGTGAGCAGGAAAGCCTGTGGTGCAAGAGAAGTGTGAATTGCATATTTTTTCTCTCTATGGAGATTTTTTAAACCAATTTCAACTCAACAATTATCTGCGCACAGGAAAGGTCCTTAGCAGACACATTTCTATCATTCGACAATATTTAGGTGTAATGTCCCCGAAGCGCGGATATTTTGGTAATATAGCAACGGGATAAAGTATTAAGTTTTTTAATTACGTCCTATCACTAAAATTTGAACGAGCTGCAGACTTTAAATTCTAATTTATATTGAAAACTAGCCTGGCATTTGGAGGGCCCCGCTCGAATTCGAATTTTATAAATCACATAAACGTTAGAAATCTCAAAACAAGCTGCAATATAAAATCTTGTGGTTACGCACTTAGAGTGCTACGTCTTCTGATCGATGAACGCAGATTCAACAGGCATTTGCGACGTATTTTAAAAGCTGAATGCCGAAAAAAAATGATGTCCTGCTTTGTCTATCATTTACAGCGACGAGATCAATTTCAGGTATATACATGTTCTCACAGCTTTGTGAAGTATCAACTCGGTCGAGAGGTAACAAAGCTCCATACCCAGCAATTTTGGGGAGATCCACATTGTCCGGGCCTCGGCATTCGGATAATTGGCCATGACGAGATGGAAAATTGTACACCCGTCGGTATAAAAAAATAGACAGTCATGCGTGCGCCATGTAACGAGCCCATGACGAGCTAAAATTCACTGTCATTCAGGGAAACTTAGTGAAAATGGATCAATAGCCGGTAGACCTCGTGGTGCTCGTCTCGCTTTTACGCCGCCTCAGTAAAGGATACTGCCTCAGCTGAAGGCCCTTCAGAGAATGTGATTTGCGTCCGAAGTAGTTAATCAATTATTGTAGACTATCTTGTTCTGTCTATGCTAGCATTTTTTGTTTTCCCGCTGCATTCGGCATCTTCTTTTACAAGTTTGGGACCTAGATCGAGTTCGATAGTTCCATTCCGACGACCTACAAGTTGTTGGCGAGCAGGGGGCCGTTACCGTGAGCTACTTGCATTAGTTCCACAGAGTGACGGGCATCCCGGACTTGCATCAATGCATGCACCACTGTGTAAATGGAAAGACCTAGCATGTGAAGTGCTCGAAATGACCTACTTGATGTTTTGCCGATCCGGATTGAGCAAAACTTCAACTGGTATGCATACGACTTACGTGAAACACATGCCAAGCACCCGCAGGTTCCTACTTCCCAATACTTTCTGATCGAAATGTGGTGGATGCTGAAGCCGCGTCTGCTTTTCTTCTGGGGGATTTTCCTCCTTGTGGGGCAATTGTACGCCCAAACTGAGGTAAGTGGGCACTGCTGTAGATTCTTTCTTGCGAAGTATGTTGTAAACCTCGGTATCGTTTACTCAAAAACTTAATGCTTGATCGACTTCTCACGATTTTACATTAAATCCCACGGCAGGGCGGAAAGAGGCTAACGAGTCTCCATGCCTTGAGTTTCTTCCGCTCCCGCGTCTGTCAGACCTGTGATTTAGTCGGATCCGTAGGAGATTGTGGCTGCGATTTTGATACAGTCAATCAGGCCACTATATTGCATTTTTTTCCGCTTCTGACAGATCTAGCCCAACGTACCTTCTTTCGATATTTCAAAGTGAATTTGAACAAAGATTGCCCCTTTTGGCACGAGGATATGATGTGCTCCATCCGAGACTGCGCCGTAGTGGAATGTGAAGCCCACGAGATCCCGCCGGTGTGGATCGAGCGAGATGCGGAGGGTCGGGCAGTGCGGGAATGCCTCAAAGAATCAGACACGGCTACTGACAGAATGGAAATGCATCTGGGCGCGGTCGATCGGAAGGAAGCTATGGTAGGCGTGGATGCATTTGCTGGGTGGGAAGAGGGCGACAACGCTCGGGTTTGGATCGAACAGGAAGAGGAGGACCAGGGGATGACATACATCAATCTCTTGCGCAACCCTGAACGTTTTACGGGATATGCAGGACCTTCGGCACGTCGCGCATGGAATGCTGTTTATGAAAATTGTTTTGGACTGTCACCAGGAGAGCTGGAGGCAGGTGGACATTGCCTGGAAAAGCGCGTCTTCTATCGTCTCATCGCAGGCCTGCAGTCCTCTATCTCCACGCATCTGGCGTTGGAATATTACGACAAGGCTCAAGACTGCTGGTTTCCTAACACAGCACTATTCGTGGAGAAAGTGGGCAAGCATCCGGAGCGCATTCACAATTTGTATTTCACCTATCTTTTCCTTTTGCGTGCCATAAACAAGGCTGGACCTGAGCTGCTGCTTTACGACTACGACACGGGCAACTCGGAAGATGATGAATGTGTACGTAGTGCAGTTCAAAACCTTGTTCGCACATCTTCCAATACTAGCACCGCAGATCAATGCCACCGGGCATTCGACGAGAGCGGCATGTTTCAACCTCGAGGTTTGACAGACGGGGCTGAGGCCGCTGCAGAGGAAGAGCGCGAGTTGCACAAGCTGCGACAGGATTTTTTTGTCCGTTTCCACAACATTTCGCGTGTCATGGATTGCGTTGGATGTGAAAAATGTCGCCTTTGGGGCAAATTACAGATTCTGGGGTTGGGCACCGCTATCAAAATTGTGCTAGGGAGACCAGAGGATAGAACTCTTGAGGGCAGCCTTTCCTTCCAACGCAACGAGGTTATATCACTCATTAACACGGCTCATCAGCTGGCCAAGAGTGTCAAAGCAGTAGAAAATTTTCAAAAACTTGAGTTTGACGATATATTACAATGGTGGATGTGGATGAGCGGGCTCGCATTCATCGTAGTAGGCATTTTTCTGCGCGTCTGTCTGCATAGACAAGAAATGGAAAAAATATCAAAGGAAAAAAAGCAGGGCGATAGATCAAATGGGAGAAGAGATGTTGGATCGCGGTTAACCTCGTCAAAGAAGACGAATTAAAGTACTGACTAGACCAGAGGCATTTCTACGCCTGTTTATCGTGTAAAAGGAGTCACGGGGAATGGGACATGCCCAAGTGAGTGGCAGTAGCCGACGTAGTAGTAGCAGTATTTACTCACGTGTTCAGGTATGAAATCTTCGCCTCGATTGAGACCGGTGAAGGCTCAAGGGGGTGTACATGTAAATTTTGTTCAAATAGCTTGTCAACACTGAGAGAGAAAACATACCAAGTGGCACAATTTGGTACTTGTGGCCCTTTGTTTTTGTTGTCTTGTGATTTTGTTAAATGACTTTAATGAAGAAGTATTAGAGACAACGAGCGGTGTGGATATCGATCTCGTGGGGACGTGTTGTATTCGAGGGCGGCACGACTAGGAGCGAACAGATCGGATCGTACAAAGCCCCGAATATCGCCGAGGGGGCGGGCGCGAATTCCCTGTTGTCCTCATGGCCGCCTCATTGTGAACGATGTCTCACGCTAACAGTAATTTCCCGGATGTTTTGTGTACCAACCATCATTGTCGGTGAGTAATTCATCTAGTTGGGGATACGGCCCCCAAAAAAGAGCAAGGAGAACCTACAGGGACAAGGAAGCGCCTGCGCGATGGCAAGGAGCCACCATGAAACCTGAAAACTAGAGTCATTTTTGATTACTTTAGCTCTCTCTTATCACATAAATACAATAAGTCCATTATTGTGGAGGCAGTGACAAGATAGGCACTGGAAAGGGCTGCCATGCACCGCATGTCTTCGACATCAGCTCGTGCTCATTCATCAACTTTTAGCGCAGGCTCCTTTTTCGGCCAAGGTAGAGACGCAAAGAAGCGAGTAAACAAGCTTTTCGCAATTCACGCCGGCATCATGTTTACACTTGGCCTTCTCAGCGCCTTGTTTCCGGAAGTACTCGTGTATCTTCTCCACCACTCCTCGGATGGCTTCCACAGCCGTCATGAAGGTGGTACGGCGCGTGTCGCGTTTGTAACAATGCGAGTTTTCGGTTGCTTCCTTTTGGCACAAGCGTATCTTTTGTTCGTTCTCAGAGGTGGAACTGATGGAAATATGCGCCGTGCGGCGGTCCAAAGCTATTTTGTTGCTTTTGGTTTGACCACTCTGGCATTGGCACGGGCGCAGCTGACAGAGGACATGCCGGTGCGCCTAAGTAATTGGCTTGTCATCTTATCCTTCTTTGCGCTCACGATGGCTTACGCTTGGTTTTCATTTTTTGAGCGCATCTCCGTATATGAACTTGGAAGGTAAAAGAGTGGTGAATGATATGACAGAAGTTGCCGGAGTAGAGTCATGTTTGAAAGCTGCCTATTTTCAAGATGTTTGAAAACACATCTACTATCCTTATCGCACTACGTAGCTGTCATTTTACTTTTTTTGCCTACAAGTCTGTCCCACAATTCGATCTTTTCTTATGTGTCGCTTGGACTTCTTTCTGGCGGCTTTGATTCCCGCATCCAGGCAATTGTCCGCGTTAGAGAATTTACTTGATCCCTGAATACTCACATTGATCGACGCGTCATGCTTTCTGGAACGCTCTCCCACTTCTTCAAAGGTGGCATCCCTTGTCATTAGCGCCGCATCGTATAGCTTTTCGAAGGAAAGCAATAGTGACGTACACTCCGTACGGTAAGGGTCCGGTGTCTTGCATTTTGGAGTCCTGGTGTTCAAAAAGATCAAGTCATCTTTCTCATTAGTTACGGAGATGGCGCCATATTTTTTTAACGGCTGAAGCGGTGCTGGAAGCACCACTTTAGGCATAACGTGAAGCAAAGCTGCGGGACGCGGGAGCAGAAGGAGACCAGTTAAAGGGCCGCCATTGTCAAATGTCACTCTCCTGACGCACTGGCGACTGTCCATGTGCCACCATCGCAAACTACCGTCCTCCGACGCTGACAACGCGATTCGCCCGTCCCAGGTGAAGGTGAGAGCCATCACCGCCTTTTGATGACCCGCCAGCCTTCTCCAATCTTCCTTGCTGCTTCCAATCGGTCCGACTGTTCCCACAAACTGCACAAGAGTGCGACTCGCCGTCCGTGCCTGGCATACCACGTCCATATCAATGACAAAGATATCGCCCATTGTCCCACCAACTAATAAGTGCTTCTCTCCTGGATCCAGGGACGTGCATGCTACCCCTGACGGCGCCTGAAGCGTACACAGGGCCCCATCTTTGTTCGCTAGCTCATAGATATGCACTCGGTGGTCTAAGGAGCAGGAGACAATCCGACAGGTCGGGCCTCCCTGCCCGCAGTGTAAGCCCGTAACCGGTAAGGAATGATTGGACCAAGAGCAGAAAGGACGAATGCAAGCTGTAGTGTCATGAGAAAATATAATGCCTCGAGTAAATAGATATGTCATTTTTATAACGTTATTGCAGAATCTGCGATTGCGCAGTGGGTGATATGGAAAATTTTGATCCCCCGATACTACCACGAACGTTGGTCGACCATCAGTCTCATTATATCAGTTTGTTCAATGCTCTCACATGGTAGTCAAGCTATCGTAAAATATACGTGTTCGCATCACATGGTCGTCATTCCGCTTCCTGTCCGTCATTGGGGCCACAAGCACTCACGTTCGAGGTCTTACGTAGACCCCACACTGAGGAATACCGCCGTATTTATGTGTTTCTCTCACCTGTTTTCGTTCCATCGTTTTTTGTACGCTCGGCGGCCAATATGTCCGAAAGGGCCCACGCCCGCACAGTAGTATCTTCCGAGCCTGTGATCAAAAAGCCGCCATCACTTGTCATGACCATGCAACTAATTGCCTTGTAGTGCGCATCCCAATTCGCTACAAGGGAACCTGAAGCTATCTCCCACGCATAAATTTGGCCTGATCGCCCCCCCGCGAGCAAGAAGAATCCGTCTGGTGTAGTAACGACGGGCCCCACTGACTCTGACACCCGACATTTCAACAGCGGCTGAGCCTTGCCCCAGCGATGAAAAACCAGGGCTTGCTCAAAAAGTTGACTTGAAATGACGTAGTCGCCCCCTGTGCCCAATCCTTCGGATGTTTGTGTTCCGCGGACGGGAGCAAGGCCCGAAGCGGCTGTATCTCCAAAGGTTGAGTACGTTGTCCCAGTTGCTACGTCTATCACCCGTAAAACTCTATCTTTCGGGCAAGCAGCCACAACTATTTCGGACGCCAGTGACAAGTGGATATCATGGCAGTTTTCCTGCATCAAAGTTCCTGTAAACATTGAATTGTCGTGTAACATGTGTGAAGACGCTGACAGGATGGTGTACTGAATCGCGAGAGCCCGGCCTGGATCATCGCCGAGTCGTGTTAGTGACTGAGCCCGCAAATTACTCGACGCAGAGCTGCACAGACAGCTTGACGGCTTGGTAACTTGATGCACCTTCTGGGTTAAAGCAAGTACTTTGGAATGCATGAGCGAATTAGAAGCGCGTTTCCAAGCTTGGAAAAGTTGCTTAGCTTGTCTCCGCCAACAAATGTCGGTCTTCCGCCCAACTAATGTGGAAATACCATCCGAAAACAGCAGCATAATTGACCGATCTTCATGGTACATTGCTATGGAAAAAGTGAACCATACAAAAAACCCCAAAAACTAAAAAAAGCAAGATTGGTAATCAATTGTGAAATGTAAGGAAAAGGGCCAGGACAGTTCATTTGACCCTTTCGTGCGCCTTCGGCAACTTGTTCAACCTCCTTTCCCCCGAGAACGTTTACAGAGGAATCTAAAAATTATGATTTCGACCAAAGAGTAGCAAGCTTACGGTGGAAACAATGAATGACTTGTCAGAGTCCATATGAGCTCCGCTTGCGGACCAAATTAAAGTGAGAATTTTCTGACCAGACAGCAGTCACGGGACGGACCGACCTTACGATGTAGGCTCTCACGGCATAATGTAAATATCTGAGAATGTCCTTCATCAACTCACCTCAATTTCGTCCTCTTGTCCGGCACACTTACAAATGATATTTGCAAGGTATTTGAAGCCTTAAAATGTGGTATCTTTGGCACTGTTTCACACTCTCTCTATTTTCAACCGGCTCAAAAAAGATGCTGCTACTCTTGGCATCATTGCGATTAGGAAGATGGTTCTTAAAAAACTCTGTACAAAGGGGACGGACAATTTCAACTCTACATACATCACATAAGGGAGATTTCAGCAAGTTTGGCCTATACTCTCGAGTCCATATCAGTGCGCATTTAAAGTGATAAGTTACAAAGTGTGTTCTATGAAGAGTTCCAGGCTTCCTCGTGCCGCAGGTGCAAGCTTCAAGTCTGGGATTGTCAGAAAATTTGTAACACCTTGTTTATTTATGAACAGCAGTTTGGTAGACTCATTGCCCTCCTTAGGTCCTGCCGCATAATATTTGTGCACATCCGAAGTCCGACATTGACAATTTACCAAGAAAGTCAGGCTTGGAACACCGCCGAACTCGAGCTGTCTCACCAGCCCCAAAAGCTTGGGAGTTTCCAACTTGTCTAGCGGCACTCCCACCTCGTCAGCGACCTCTTGAGCTGCCGATGTGAAGATCTCATGACGGATGCGTTGTTTCAACAGCGCGGCATTTGCTGGGTCATGCAACGTTTGAATAAGTGTAAATGCTGAAGGAGGAGACAGTGGGAATTCCAGGCCTAGGTTCCCTGGCTCTGGGTGTCCGCCTGGCGTGTCGATATAGCCCTGGAAATCTGCGACACCTTTGGTGCTTCGTTCAATGAACACCAAGTCCCCGTCTTGCGTACATAAAATGGCACTCACACCTAACTTCTGGGAAAGGTAAACCTGTGCGTCTTTGTGGGCGGCAAGTCCGTCTGCCTGCAGAAGAGGCGCAATCGAAGCATGATTGGTGCCGCGCGCTGTTTTGTAATCCGTCAACCACAGCTCCAGCAAAAGCTTCATTGGACGCGCTTCTCCTTCTTTCACTAAAAGGCAGCCAGCCAGTCGAAATTTAACCGCATTGAAAAGGGCAGAGCACCCCTGTGCCTCTCTTTCTTCACTGAGTCTATCCCAAGTGCTATCAATATTTGCTTCCAACCTAGAATCTGGGTGAGACAACCGGCCGTAGCAAGGATTGAAATCAATTTCCACGTCTTCCTCTGAAAATGGGAAAGAAAAAATCGGCTGAGGAAATGTCTCAAATGCGTAGGAGGGTCCGCTTTTGGCTTGGCCTGGCTGGTCGCTCGAAGTAAATGGCGTCGCAGGAACGTTTGCTGAGGGCTGCGATAGACACTTGTTGCAGACCACGTGATTTGACACAGTGTTCCCAACTTCATGCGTAGTTCGAAAATCTGCTTTCCCAACGCAGAGTGTGCCTCCCAGCACCTCTCGATGCTTTTCTGTTTCGACTCGCCCGAGGCTATCCTTCTCCAAGCAGGCCTCGACTTGCTCGAGAAGTTTCTGCAGCGTCTCCTCGGCAGGACCAATAATGTTAAAAACATCGTAGCGTCTTCCTCCTCCTTTCGCTAGCCCATCTCGAATATTGAAATTGAAAATGGGTATGCCCCGTTTTCGGGGCCCAGCCTCGATTGCAAGGTTGCTGATATTGACTTGAAAGGAGGTACCGACAAACACCAAAGCGTCGGCCTCCTCAAATGCCGCCAAGGCCTTATCGCTCTGATAAAATGCGTGGCTATCATACATTTCGTCAAACATGAGTGCCAAGGGCATCATATAACCAGTTCCGCATTCTGTACATCGCGGCACGTGCGTCAAAACTACAGGATCCGAGCTGTCGGCACCACCGCCCTCGATCTGCTCGGCAAGCTCAGGACCGAACACATCGATAGCTTGTGCCCAGGTCTCGTTCGCTAAAATGCAGTAATTATTGCTAGAACAATGGTATAAGCCAAGCCGGCCGTGGATCTCGACAAGTTTGTCTTGGTGAGCCCACGCCTCGCGAGTCTGTCGATTCAGCGAGTCGATATTCTGCGTGACAACCAAAAGGTTTGGGTCTAAGTTACTCAAGCGAGCGAGAGCTTCGTGACCCGCGTTCGGAGAAGCTCGCGTGTATTGGTGTTTGAAGAGCGGAAACCAAAATTCGTTGTACCACGTCACGGGATCACGCAGAAAAGCAGCTTTTGTCCCCATGGAGGTAACCCGCTTGACCCAAATAGCGTTCGGATCTTCACCACGAAAAACTGGCACGCCCGAGGCGGCGGAAAGGCCTGCACCCACAAGAAAGGCAATTTTCTTCTTTTCTTGAATGAAGTGAGCGAGCAGTTTTGTCGGGTCCCGACGCCTCCGCATGGTAAAGGACTCGACTAATAGCTTGTTGAAAGCAATGGGCCGCCCCGTGATCGCCCAGGCAGTTGACTGCGCACCGATATCAGGCCAAGAATGGCCTATGATTGTGTAGGCCTATGCACA